GGGTGAACATTCTGCTTCTATGGTTTCTGTGTTGCTTGTCTGCTCAGGCCATCTCGAGGGCAAGGATACTGCCCTAGAGCTTCCCCCCGTAGACCATCGGCGTTTTGTCGTCAACCATGTATGATTTTGCGGATTTTTTATGTGGTTGCGCAGACTGCGGCGGCTCCGATCTGACCGTCAATGCCGCTGCCGTCTGTGTAGATGTGGGTTGCTCCAGTTTTCATTTCCAGACATCGTCGGTGTTCCTCTTCAGCATGCTCTGCGGATTCCGCAATGAGAACGCGCCGTCTTCTTCACCATGGGGAGTGATAAAAGGCGATATGTGCTCGTGCTCGTGCTCGTGCTGTTCGCTGACTGCGACCTGTCCATGGATCAGTCATTTCGTTATCGTCTGTCTCGGGCTCATTTTCTTTCCTCTGCGTGCAGTTACTTCGGCCGTGCCTACTCTGCTGATGGTGCCGATGTTGTGTTTCCATAGCTGCTGTTCGGCTGGCAGGAGATATATTTCCATATCTAGTGCCGGATACGAGGTTGATCTGTAAGCTCCGTACATCGCCCTGGCTGCTCTGGCTTGGAGCCTTTGCAGTCTGTTCATTGTTGTTGCCCTGTAGCCCATCTCTCCCCAACTGCTGTTGAACCACAGCGAAAACTTCTAAACAGACTTTCCAACTTCTTTGGTAGACTATTTGGGATTCGGGCCTTCCGTGATGCGCACCCAGTTTCAATTGGTAATCCTTGAATCTTGCTTGGCGAACTTGACACCGCCCAAATTCCACGAGCCGCTGCGCGTGTGAAGAGCTCTTTACTCGGCATACGTTACGACGGGTGCTGCAAGTTTGCGGGCGACGACGGTCAACAGCCTCTTGTCCACCGTGATGCCGAAGTCCTTCAGTATCGGCTCGTCAAGGCCCAGAGCCGCTGCGCTGTCGCGCTCGATGGAGACGGCGTTGGCAAAGGGAGAGAGGCAGGCAAAGTCGAGCATCGCCGTGGTCCCGTCTCCGGAAAGCTTGGAACGGACAGCCTGGCCGGCGGTGATGGTGCACCGCTCGGCTGGGAAGAACATGGGCTTGGAAGGCGTGCCGAGGTTGACCAGGGGCAGGGTCTTGCCCGGAGCCTGTTCGTACATCCATCGCCAGTATTCTGCGGCGGAGTAGAGACCAGGCGGCTTGTTACCAAGGACCTTGGTTTGGCCCTCTGCGGGATTCAGCTGGAAACGGACCTCCTGCGGGCCGCCGTAGACGAAGCTGTGGGAGAAGATGACGGTGCGGTCAACGTCTCGACTGCACGCAAGCCCGTGGATGGCTTTCTTGGCAGTGACGTCCTTGTCGTCGGCGGTGCGAAATCGGATAGTCACGCGGGTCTTGGCGAGGAACTTGGATAAGCCACGCAATCTCATATGAACGATGTCCTGCGCGTTGATATTGTCGGTGCCGAACTTATCGACGCCAGACCACCTGCAAAGGTCGCTGACAAGGACATCGGTCTCGAAGCGGGAGAAATGCGCGTCGTCGGGATTGCTGGGGTCGACCATGTCTCGGAGGCACTGGGCCATGACAGCCAACGGGGCCTCGGTCTCACCGACGATCCTGACGTTGTAGAGCTCCTCGCGCATGGCGCTTTCGTTCTTGAGCTTGACGACGATGGGGCTCTTTACGAGCTGCAGCTTGTCGAGCGAGACGAACTGCGACTTGAACTTGGTTGCCAGTGCGGCCTTCGGCTCAAGGCGTCGAAGCTCCGCGAGAGCGTGCTACAGGACGATCTTGAGCTTGCGCTTCGGGACACTGGTGAGGGGCCCATTGCTGCCGCCAGCGCCTCCGCCTCCGGCCTGCGCCTTGCCCTTTCGTTTGCCCTTGGGGTCGTCTGCCGGAGCGTCTGCAACCTCACCTTTGCGGACCTCGAGGTTATACCGGTAAAGGACCACGGGCTTGATGAGCAGGCGGAAGTAGTTGGTCCAGACAACGATCTGCTTTCCCTTGGCGCCGAAGGCCGGTCGACAGGACATGAGGGAGACGGTCGAGTTGGTGAGCTTCATGCTACCCATCTTCTTAACTAGAGCCTGGTCTTTGGACTGGTAGCGCTGGACCACGGTGTTCTCGAGGTTGGTCACGTCGATGTCAGGCTCAGGAATAACCGAGCCCTGTCTGACAGGCGTCACTTCACGAGATGGACTTCACGTGGTACAGCAACACTCACCCGAAGAAGGTTTTAGCCCCACCTTCGAATGCTCCACGGCGAGGAGCGAAGCCGCCGTGGGCCCCTCGTCCACGATCGCGATCGCCGCCACCGCCAAAATTGCCCCCGCGTCCACCCGGAAAAGAATTGTCGAGAAGGCAGGAAAGACAAATTTCGATTGGAGGTTGGGAGAGAAGCCGTAGGTAATGAAAGTCTGGAGATGGATGCAGGAGGTCGAAAGTCGCGGTGGTGAGATGGTCGGCGTGACCGATACGCGCCCCAATTCATTAGGTAAGGGCTTGCGCGAACGACAACGATAGCCCTCAGACGGCACTTAGGCAACGGACTTCCGCCCACATTATTGCGCCGCGGCCGTACAGTGGCATTCGAGGCAAGTCGTCTTGAATGAAGCTGGTCAAATACGTAGTCATGCCTTCAGGACTTGGTGTCTTCGTCAAAATATCTGCGACCGCAAGCACGAATCAACCGGTTGTTGTAACACGAAAATCCAGGCTGACGGTGTGGATTGGATTATTGAAGACCGGCAACTGGTGAGCCTATACGGTGTCGGCGAACCTATAGTGCCGAATGGTACGATGAATCCTACTTCAACCTCACGGTAGTACTTCTCTAGGACGGAAATATTTCACACCATTCATCTCATGCTCCATGATGAGTTATGATCCCACTGTCAGGCATCAGCCAGAGGCTTTCATTTGCAACAAGCCTTTCAGAAAGCGTGCGGCAGCTTTTACCCCTTTGTTTA